CATCTATCCATCTATCCATCTGTTCAACCAAGCAACAACGCAATTAGTGGGTTGAGGACAGTGATCGAATCAAGTTATGAATCTATCTGATCAGGACTCGCTATGCTGGTTTGTTATTGCGGTACGCCAACCGTTACCCTCAACACCATACCCACCGCCGTACGGGTTGATGCCAGCTCTGGCTAAGAGCCTCGCCCCGGTTCAACGGATATGCCTGTGGACTATGGAACTTGAAGTCTTCGGCCTCGAGTGCTGTGGATGACCTTGTTTCTGGCATCCACGCTTCCGCACGGCACGCGGCACACGGTTGCTGGAGGCTCCCCAGATACACGACACTCAACCCTACAATCTATCTACTTGGCGATGTTTTCCTACATCTGTGACGGTCTTGTCTTGTTTTTCCAGTCCATCAAAGTTCTCGCAGCGGCGTTGCTCTGGCCACGGTAACACCAGTGAACCGCAAGACCAAGACCAAGACCAAGCCAAACGCAGAAAAGTCAGGACGGGTTTTGTTATATCGTCACCTCGTAGTCCGATTCGGAGTGACGTGTCCGGATATCCTCCGCCCATCACGACCTCTAATCAACCCTCAGCGACGGAACAGACGAGACCAAAATCCATTGCAGGATCACCGCCCTACATTGCCGACGGTTCAGCTGATAGCTTGATTATCGATTTGAGAAATAGCACACACAGGCGCATCCAGACGTCACTCACTCACTCGGAAGGCTTCGGCCAGGAGTCATGCAACGTCTGGTCTTGGAATGAGCCCTGTCGAAGAAATCAGACATTGTTGTTGGTATCATTTCCGTCGCCAAAGCGAAAGAAAGGGATTTACAATCGACATGGAAGAACTAGCGCGGAAGTGGGATGTTGATATAAGCGAGGTCCCGACGTGTGGAAGCCCCTCCCTCCACCACGCAAGTGGCTGCGCAAGCCATGAACGGATACTATCGCTTGGTCCTATTGACGAATCAGCGACGCGAATTGGCGACAACAAGTCAACGACGACGGGCACGGACGCTTGCAACGCTGGCACGCCTGGACTAAACGGATAGGAAAGGAATACAAGGAACACAGGGAGTTTGGGCCCGCTGGGTTTCGGGATCCAAGACCGTCTTTGGCAACGCCCAATTACGGTTTTCCTTCACACACCTGGTTGCAGCGGTCAGACGCGGTCCGCTAAACGATTTCCCAGATGAACCACGTTGTCCCTTGTCGCGTCTTGCCCCAGTCACGTCTCGAAAGCGAAAAAGATTCACTCTGGTCATTGTGTCACAGTGACTCACACACATCTGAAACGGAGATGGATAAGCCAGGAAGCGCCCCAACCCACAGGATGGCAGAACGGGGGAAGCAGTCCTTATCTTACAACGACATCCTTGAGACGAGGCGTGGAGAAAGTTGGGAGAGGAGAGCAAAGTTGGCAAGGCAAGTAAGTGGCCCAGACAATCCCGCCTTGATACCGGCCAGAGAGGGAGAAGCAAAGAACAGTTTCTGAGCGTGAGTATCAAGAACGGTGCAATCCATTTCTCTCTCACACGCCATGCTGTCCTGGTGAGAAAAACATCGTTGCTTTCGAGGAAGAGAGGCCTTGGGGGAACTCGCGGAGCACTTCAGGTTCCTGGCGGTGGCTTTGATCGATGGGGGCCTGCTTCTGTGGTCTCCAGACGACAGGTGTGCGACATGCCGTGAGCAATGACGGACAAACATGTTGCGAATGTTCGCCGGCTCGTCCATAACCTTTTGGGGCCGTTTGGACACAATCTTTGACGGAAAGCGGCTGTTGAAAGATACTCGCTTTCGACGCACTTTCGGCCACTGCACCACCCACTCTCCACCTTGTCTCTGTCCCGCCTTGTCATGTCTTCATTTCTCGCCACCTGCTGCGCTTTGGCATCTAAAGGGCGAGAGGTGAATGCGCGCGTGCTGTCTGTTACGGTGTCACGGGGCATGTTCGACTGGGGGGTCAAGGCCAACATTTGCTGTTGCGGGAAGAAGGGAAGTAGGTTGCTCATCTGCGTGCGACATGGTGTCGTTTCTACGTTGAGGTTCATGCAGCGAGGTAGGTCCAGGGGCCCGGTGACTCGGTGGCAACACATACAGCAACATGAAGAACTACGGGCCTCGGCCCACGCTTCGTGATGGTTCCAATGGTTACTAACTCGGCGTGGTTCGAAGATACAGGTGCCAGAACGCCACGCTTTTCCAGGTGGCATCTACGGCCGTGTGTGGACCGTAAATCCGCTATGCCTCGCTCACCAATGCCGTCTACGCTTCCATCCCTTGGCCATCCATCGTTTGACCGGCCTGCGTCCGGTACATCTTTATTGATCCCGCTTTTCGCCGTCATGTCGCTAGTCATGTCGCTAGTCATGTCGCTAGTGACTTTTGCAAGTTTGATCTGGCCCCAAACCGAGATGAGTGGGACGATTCAGGCAGGAATACATCTATCTTGTGTCCAAATTGGGTCGAAGAGCACGTCAACCCTCTTCTTCTCTCGAACGACGCTCGACGGCGACCCGGTTAAGCCATTCATCCTCGCGGAAAAAGTATCAACCATTCCACATTGTTCCTCGGTGAAGGAGGAAGAGAGATGGTGGGAGAGACGGCGCTGACCAAAATGAACTTCTTTGCCGGGAAGGAGCGAATGTGGGCGCGAAAGCTTGACAGCCAGCTAGCGCGGAGATGACGCCGATCATCCGTCTATTTGGGAACCTACCGCGTATGCTGGCAAGCTCTCGACGATGAGCACCAAAAAAAGGGACATGATTGAAAGGTCCTGTGCTGGTGTTGTGGCGTCTGGATCGTCTGGATCATGGTACCGAAATAAAAAGCCCGCATGGCCCGGCCATCAATCTCTTGTCGGAACTCAAACGAGTCTCGAAGCTGACTGACATGTGAGCCAGGGCGTTCGAAACCTGTCTGGAGGAGATCATGCACAACTCCCGTCGAGAGACCTTGGCTGCGAAAGATACTCAAAGTTCTCGATCCAATCAGTGTCTGCCGTCCCCTTCGAGAAATTGTCTGCTTCGTTTGTCATTATTAAGCATATCTGGAGGGATCGCGCGCGACGAGCAAACCGAGCGGAAGAACGTGGAGAGGACATAAGAGTCGTGGTCGATGTCTGGTCGGACCTGTCGAACGCAAAGCACCTGCTGTTCGTTTATGCCTATCCGCGCAAAAGGAAAAGCTACTTCCATCTGTCAACTCCCTCAGCTTCTTCAAGGTTTTCTGGCGACACCGTGGTCAGTCATCCGAAGGTCGGAAAAGGGGGTCGTCGATCCATCTCGAGCCCCGTCTAGACGAAGTCGGCGGCGACGTAACGGCCGATGTGGAATTTTATTTCTCATCCGCTTCAATATCGCTCAGTTTCACCAGCAAGCTGAGTGGAGAGAGTTGATCAAGGAGAAGACGTCTTTCCTTCATCATTTGCTCTAAAGCGTGGCTCGTCATCTGTGCATGCAGCCTCATGCACCCACCCACCACACAATGCACCTCTATCTCGATATGCTATTGCAAACTTTGGCCCTGCTAACCAGAATTTATATGGTGCATTTCGAAAAATGCCGTCTTGACACACCACATCACACCCACTCCCACACTGGGCCCATCACAGGCAGCAGGCATTGAGTGTCCAAAGAACAGCAACAGCAGAACGAAGAAAGAGAAACATCCAACTGTGGAAGCTTGGTGGAGCTTTGTGAACAGATGCCCTCCCTCACTGGTTAACCGCGGCGGCTGTTCGCTCGCATGCTCTTCGCTGGTGTTCGATCTCGAGATGTTTCCATGGTCTCTGCGTTCTGCATACTCCCTTCCTTCCCTGGGTGACACCATTCTACGCTGATAACTTTTGCAGTCCCTTACTTTTCTGTTCGTGTCACAGTCCTGAGGCTGGGTTGGATTGTGATTGACTTTTCCGTTGCTCCTAGGGGGACCAGGAAAAGCAGGCACCGGCTTGAAACGGGCCTCTATGTACGTATTGAACTGGGGCGAGGGTCTTCTTGGCCAGAGGTATCAACATCGTACGGCGGTGGGTGGGCATTGTGGAGAGGATACCAGCTATCGCACAGCAATAACAGAAACAGCATAGAGGAGTCTCAATCGGTTGGATTCCATGACTTGAATTCATAACTGTCTTCAACTTATTGATTGAGTTATTCGTTGGTATAGATGGATAGATCCTGTTGAAGGATCAAGAAAAAAGGAAAAAGGAGTCTCCAGCCTTGTGTTAGAAATCCAGCCAATCAACAGCCAGGAGTGTCATCCTGTATAGTGTATAGTGTGTAGGTGAATTTCACCAATCATGTTACAGCCTGTAGACTTTCCTATTTTGGTAAAAATCAATGGAAGCGGGGCGACCATTTAATATGGTTCCACTTCTGATTGGTCAGCTTGGCAATATGGAAATGAAGGACGGTAGGTATATACCAGCATCAATCACCCACGGTGGCACGTTTAGGGTCCCCTCCCTGCGTCAGCTTTTATTAGTCATCTGTTTTTGTCAGTCGTTTGCATCGTCAGGACATCTCTGCAATACTCGCTTGAACTTCGCCTTGGGCAATCCCAACCCGTTCCTCCTGAAAGATCTCTTTCGCCTGACGTTCCGCAAACGAATGCCTCACCCTTCGTCTTCAACTAGGAGCCATTCCCTATAGATATGCGGCCTACCGAATACTCTCACCTGTTGAGTAGTATCGATATAGTAAGGTAGGATTGTGTTTGTATAATATTCCTGGGTTATTGAATTGCCTGTTGAGTACAATTTAGCCTTGTGAGGTAACGAGGCTTCCCATTCGCTTTGACGCTGTTTGAACTGTCCGTGTAGCTCATATTTTGACTTTTGAGGCCTGCCATAACAACGTTGAGGTTGGATCTCGACTGTTTCAGTTGGACCGTCATTCTCGTCGTTGTAAGAGATTGACTTTTCACTCTTGAAGTCGGCCTGAATGGTCTTTCCTTGACGAGGAAGCCTTTCTGTGGTGTTCTCTGGGTTATATCTATGTCCCCAATTTGTTCTCATAAAACTCGAGGCTTAGCCTGCGAGGTGTGTCGAAGTGGAATTCGTCTGTAAAGACAAGATATTGCCAGAAGTTGTCGATAGTCTTCTCCTGGTGTTCCTGACCAAATTCGATATGGTTTGGCTTATAAAAAGGCTTTAGTTCTGTCCTTATAAATGCCTGAAGGTAGCTACCACCTTGATCTGTGTCCTGAAGTAATCTTTTGCGTAGTCGGCGGCGTGGGACTGGAATATCAAGTTTCCTGAGGTTGAGATCGAGCGGTTCCTGGCGATAGGGATTCTCTGTAGAAACAATGAATTTACACTGTTCTTTTGAGATCCTTGGCTTGCGGCCAAGATTGTTTGATATGTTTCGCGTTCTTTTATAGGATTTTGTGCCTGATTGGTCGCGTTGTTTGAGCCGTTTTCGTGCTGTTGTTCATGGTAGTTGAAACTGCCTTGTAAAACTACGAATGCTTTCTCCTTCCTCTCTCTTGTCCCAAGCTTTGATTGCCTTCGGTGTGTACGTGTACGACCGCAATACCTTTATCGTTGCTCATCTCGAGGGTCTGTTCGTCGACGACGGGAAACCGCAGCTCGGGGGATAGACATCTCTAGGGAGGGCTGCGGTCTGTGGAAATAGCCGTGATCTCCATTATGTCCTTGACTTTTGGGTCTTCGAGACCATCCTGGTGAGTATGATGCGGACGGACGACGACGTCGGTGACTTGGTACCCCATGCCACAAGGTGCGACGATTATGTCTCCGAACACAGAGTTCTCCCCCCTTTACCCAGTCGAAAAAGAATTGTCGTAATTGGTGTCGACGCCGACGAGATGTAGATGACCGTCCATCTACTTGTTGAGGTCAGATATGGTGTCGGCGAGATGTCGAGAGCCGTGTTTCCCATTCATGCCGTCAAGACCGTCAAGATTGTATGTTTGTGAGGGTGGAAAGGGGCGTCAGGACCCGGAAGAGAAGTGAAACTTGAGGCGAAATTGAGGCTGTTTGCCCTTTTTATTGACAGACCTCTGCGATCTGGGAGAAGGCTGGGAGGCGGTCGGGAAGGGAGGGAGCACTTTATGTGGGAAAGCCAGAACCCCTATTTTTTCCCGACCCAGACTTGGCGGAACCTTTGTGTCGCACAAGAGTTGCGAAAGTGCCGTGTCAAACCAAAGTACCCTGTCGATCCAAAGTACCCTGTCGAACCAAAGTGCTGTGCAGAACCAAAGTGCCGTGCAGAACCAAAGTGCCGTGTCACACGAGAGTACCGTGGTCGAACAGGTTATACGACAGGACCAAAAAAGTCCGCAGGTATGAGTCACAGGTCTTGTCTCTTGTGGTACAGGCGGACCAGTCGAGCAGCACCAAGTGCACCGATTGGGTGGCTCGTACCTGCGCAGAGTGAAGCTGACCCTCTAAAAAGCCCCCCTTAATTTGACTGGATCGTTCCAACCCCGAGATGTGACACAACGCTAGTAAACTGTGGACCGGTCGAGACCGACGCCCAGGTTTGAGCTTTCCAGTGATTTGGCGCCCAACAGCATGCGAGACCTCCTCGGAGGCTGGGGGGATGTATCACTCTTTCGTTCCAATTGCACCATAGTGTGTCACATGTGCTGTGGTCCTGCCCCCTTTTTTACCTGGTTGTGGTTGTGGTGGATGTAGTCCTGACGTCATTTATGGATTCATTCTAGGCAGCCATTCTTGGCAACCATCGAGGAGGGAGGGATGCCATCCCTTGCAGTCGAGTGCATTTTTGCCAAGGGGGTAAATTTAAGGTTTTCAGGCCGGACACGGGTGGACAACAGAGGACCCACTTACGGGTAAAACCACCGCCATCTTCTCCTCCCGATAGAAGCGCATCCCAATCCGCCATCATGGTCCCCAGCGAGACATGCTTTTTCTTCAGTGGAGACGGTTGCCTCTCTGGGATTTTTGTCACTCGACAAAAATTCGAGACAAAGAAAAGTACAAGAAGCAAGGAGTCATTCCTATTTGGCTTTTGTCAAAAGTGGAGACAATTTCCTCTCTGGGATTTTTGTGAGTCGACAAAACATTCAGACAAAGAAAAGGACAAGAAGCAAGACTTGATTCCTACTTGGCTTTTTGGCAAAAGTGGAGACATTTACCTCTCTGGGATTTTTGTGAGTCGACAAAAATTCGAGACAAAGAAAAGGACAAGAAGCAAAAAGTCATTCCTATTTGGCTTTTTCTTCAGTGGAGACATTTACCTCTCTGAAGACAACATATTCGAGACAAAGAAAAGGACAAGAAACAAGACATCAATTCCTACTTGACTTTCGGTCAAGAGTGGAGACAATTGCCTCTCTGGGGTTTTTTGTGACTCGACAAAATATTCGAGACAAAAGGACAAGAAGCAAGGAGATGGTCCCGAGTACGTCAACCCTTTTTGCGGCCCACCACACATACCCCTGCGGCCCTCCAGAGGCTTTACACTCCAGTGCATTTGTGACAGGTCAGATTTCCAGCCACCCCTTCCTTGCTCCTCCTTACTCCTTGTGCCAATGCTATCCTTGAATCAAGTGACCAAGTTAAATCTCCACAAAACGCCATACGTCATGGCCCCACTTTTTCATTGGCTTTGCCCCGCCCCTTTGTCGTCCCCTGCCACGCCCCCTTTTTTTGGGCTACTCCTTTCTCTCTTCTCTGCTTCTTCTTGCTCCACCTACAGATACAGACGGATGGACGGACACTAGCGAGCTTGTGCATTCAGCTAGCCTGGCTCTTGCTCCTCGTCAGTCCTTCTATTGAGGTTCGGTCGGCGAGCTGCGAGCGATGAGCGGCTGGCGGCTAGCGGTGGCTGCCGTGATGGCTCTCACCTTTCACATCACAATTACCTTTGCTTGGAACTGTGTGGGCTGTGGGGTATTGGACGTTGATTCCTGCGTCCCAACTCTGAGCAAAGTTGTGTGAAAGAGCGGTGTGAAGAGCAGGGCGCGAGCAGCGGGGTGTCAGCAGCATTTCGACCAACCAGAAACTCGAGTCTACACGATGGTGTGCGACTGTCGGGCCAGAACAGCCGTTTTGACCAACAAGAGCGTTTGAAGCCCACACGTTCGAACATGACTGGCAGGGCAAAGCCGCAGTGTTGACTGGCACGGACCGGGCAGGGCAGGGTACAAGGAGCAGTTTTGGCAGTGGTCTGAGCTTCAGAACACCAAACATTAACTTATGGAGGGCCGTTTTTTCACTAGCTCCCGTCCATCGCCACGGGCCTTGCGCAGGGGTGCTAATCGAGGATACAGAATCCACCCCCCCCCCTCCTGAAACTACTCCTTGCTGATTTCCGAAGAATCTGGCAACGGTGGGCCAAGGGCGGGCTTGTCGGCGGCGCCTCGCTCGCCCTCCCAGCCTGTGCCATCGGCCTCGACCGCCGGCGGCTTGTTGAGCATCGCCAGAAAGAGCGTCTTAAAAGCGTCAAAAGCCTTGAATTCTTCCTCGACTGCTTCGAGCCTGACCACGTTCTTTTCGGACGCCGCCAGGGCTCCTTGGAGCTGTTTTACCTGCTTCCGGAGCCTCTCCACCTCGCCCCCGTCCGCCGCCGCCGCCGTCTTGCGCCTCTTGGTGTGCGCCATTTGTTCTTCTTCTTCTTCGCCATCCACCTCGTCGTCGTCGTCATCGACACGGTAATCCAGCTTGCGGGGGCGCAACGGGGTGCCTGGTTCTTCCGCATACGTGGTTTTATGAACCCGACGGAGGTGTTCCTTGAGGGTTTGGTCGCGGGAAAACGGTTTGCGGAAGTGTCGTTTGCAGCCTCTATGCGGACACCAGAGTTGGTGTTCGGCCCTGACGTCTTTGCCGTGGACCTCCCTTTCGTGACGGACAAGTCCACCGGCGTACGTGAAGCCTTTTTGGTTCCTGCAATCGGCCGCGGCACACTTGTACGGGCGTTCATGCTTGTCCATGTGTTTGCTTTGCGATACCCAGGTCAGTTCTTGTGTTCTTGTTGGGGGGGAGAGGGGAGGGAGATAACTGACTTCCATTCGCCCAGGCGCGGAAACTCCTTGACCTCATCGTCACATTCGTCCCAAGTGCATTCGAGTTTCCCGTTGGAGTTTGGAGTTGGCGGTGTGCGCTGCACGTGTCTGGGTGTTCTGGGCCTCCTCCGTTTCACCGGCCTGTTGCGCTCGGTGGGCTGCGCGGGTGGTGGTGAGTCTTCATCGCCCTTGACTAGGGAGAGGGAAGACGGTGTTTCCGGTACGACATCCGACGAAGAGCTACCATCGGCGTGGGCAATCTCATCCTCGGACATGGCCAAAAGGTCTCGAAGCTGCAAAACCGTCGGCATCTTTGCTTTTCTTGTGCTTTGGAAAGATTGGTTTCGTCCCACCAGGTTGGAATGGTTTGTAAAGTAACACGTCGACAAGAGTGACGATTTGAAAGCAGGACGGATGTTGGGTGGTGGGTACAATGAATGCTCGTGAGGGGGGGAGAACCCGATCTAAATCTTCCTCCAGTCCTGAGGAGACGACTTCTCGGGCGGGTATTTATCATTAACTTTTTTTTTCCCCCTCCTCTCTGTCCCTCTCAGACCACAACCACCCACCCAGTGGGTTGACAGAATTCCCGTCCCCAGTGAGGCAGGAAATCCGAGCAGAATGCCATAATAGTGGGGACGGGAATTCTGTCACCCACTGGGGTGGCACCAAATGGATGCCTGCTGACATGGTTGCTTCCCTGTGACTGGCTGGCCAGACTCGCACAGGCCCGCGCAGAAATGCAGGGAGGGTCCAACCCGTGTGGCTGTGGTGTGGTGTGGACCCTGTTGATTGACTCACCGACACTTTTTGTCTCCCTCCAATCAAGCACGCAATCTACTTCGTCACGCCCCCCCTTGTCGGGCGCAAGGCAGCCAGCCAAGTCATGCGCGTCGGTCCTCGGTCTCGTGGCACACTGCGCAAATTTCTGGATGGCTGGCCCCGTGTTGTTTTTTTTAGCGTCCTTTTTCCCAACCTCCCTATTTCTTTGGGCCGCAACTTTTGACGTCAAATCACACGCTTGGCGGTGTTTGGTGGTCTACCTACCCCTCACCGCCAGAGTGCCTGATTGGCCAAAGGCTGCTTCTTCCCAGTCCAGTCGGGCGTTCACCCCCGAAAAGACGCTTGCTGGCACCACTTTTCAGAAAGGGTTGCCGATTTATCTCTGTATCAGACCAGTTACCCTAACTGGAGGGTGAATGTGTTTACTACGGGATCGATAATGAAAGAATAACTAGCCTATAGATAGAGACGCCAACGCTTGAAGAAGGCTTCAAGGTTGACAGGTATGATATCTCTCCTGCTATATACATGCGACAAGCCAGCGGCTTGGGTGTCAGCCTGACTTTTTCCTTGGCTGGCGGCCTGAGCTGAGTGTGCAGTGTCACATGGGTGTTCGTGACTGACACTCCGGTCGCCCCAAAGTCGACCATGTGGACCGATTTCATAGGCTCATGCGGACGCAATGCCCTGTGATGTGCCACCCTAGCTAAGCTTATCACGGGCGGTGCACAAGGCACATCACACCCAGAGTGGCCGAAGTTCAAATAGTGCGTGAAGGCAACCACTTGTGACGGCTGCGGCCTGCTACGAGTCAAAACCAGGTTGGTTCCCAACCCTGGCAGGGTCTGGATCTCACTTTTGACCTGTGCTTCGACAGCTGCGAGACGACGCCGTCTTTGATTCACCTCTCACCTCTTTCTTCCCCAGCACCCACCCACCCGGTACACGATGAGCAACAAGGCGAGTCCTCGAACACAAGACAACTTCGGTTCGTCCTATATGCTGCAAAGGCTGGGGATCCCAGCATCCATCTTCCGGTTCCAGACCTACGACTGCGAGAAATTACATTGCGGCGGGCACATCGGCACATCATCTTCACGGACGGGATTCATTGCCAGGATCTCGACGACGAGCTCTCTCTCATTTCGCTGGTCGCGCCGTACCGGTACCGGTCACCTGCACTTCGTGGGAGACGAGCGAGCGCAATAAAGAAAGAGGTGGAACTTCCAAAACACTGTCGCAAGGGCGCTATCTTTATCTTCTCGTTGAAAGACGGACCCGACACGACAGTGGTGGCTCGCATTCTGGGGAATGACGCCGGGCACGAGTCGTACAGGGCAGAAGTCACATACTGTAATGGGAGAGTGTACAGGCTGGGAGAGTCTACGGGCTGGAACGTGATTGATGGAATCTGCCTGTACGATGTACGATGTACGAGTAGGTGAGTGACACTCCTGATTGGCTGAATTTCTAACACTAGGACTATGTCTGACATTCCCTTTTCTCTTGGATCCTTCAACAAAATAGGGATCAATAAATAATCTGAGCCATGCGTGTGGGACCCTGGACCTGAAGAAGTGGAAATTAAGCGTTCTGTAGCGGATTTATTCGCAAAAGCTCGAGGGGAGGTTTTTTTCAGCCGTAGAATTGTTCGATTTTGCCGCCACCATCCACCATCCGAGAGAATGGACTCGGAAAAGGGAACTCTGGGAATTCATGGGCGCGGGCTCGGTTGGCTGTGAAGGCCCATTTCGAGCAGGGCCTGTTTCCTGGTGTCCCTCCCTGGCAACATCGTCCGCGAACGGACAAAGGGGGGGAAAAGGGTGGTGGTGGGCGTTTAAGGCAACCAGCCCCAAAGAGCCTAGCGTCGGCCCCTGCATGCTTCAGAAACCCGACGGAGCCCAATCACAAATGGGTGAGGCCCCCCGTTTGTGGGCCCCCATGTACAGCCACGGAGATCCACAGTGTGGAGACCAGGCCCGTACCTCCCAGCCTCAATTGCCGCCCACCCTTCTCCTGGAGACAGCGACGTTACTGCCTGGACGGACGCCGGCGAGTATCCCGGTCTGTCGCGTGTCACTCGCGAACCCAAGAC